ATTACATGTAGGGTTCATCATTGGATGGTGGTCCACGACAGTATATGGTGTCAATTAGTGGTGGTCAATGGTGATCGACAGACAGTGTTTGACGATGTTCCATGGCTACGGAGGTAGATGGTTGTTCATCGGGTTTTCAATATAGATGTTAGACATAAGATCTATATTTGGAAGACAGCAGTAACAAAAAAAATGTTGTTGGTGACCAATGGTAGGTGGTGATGGGCTATGAAGGTTGGAGGTGGTTGACGATGGCTGGCGAGTGGTGGTTAACTGTGGTCGGTAGCTACAGAGGCTAGTGGTTATTCCTGGGTTTTTTCTCCAGGATAGGCTCTGAAATTCCTCTTCCTCCCTCCCACTCCCAAGTGAAGAGAGAAGGTTTTTATAGAATTTCGAGGAGGGGAATTTTGGGCTTTTGGTGCATAAAACTTCCCTAACCACATAATCGAACGGTTCATATTGATTGTTTAATGATTTAAGTACCTTAATGACCTCAAAATTGAGTGATCTTAGGTTCAAGTTGAGGCACACTATTTGGCTATAAGAACATCAAATTTGCTTCAATAGACAATTTGATTTGGGCTTTGATTGGACTCGGATTGACCCAACTTTAGTATCATTGAGTTTATGATCAGTTATAAAATTGTTAAAATCGAGGACCCATGTGATCTTGAATTCAAATATTAGCATTAATTTCTTAGCAATACATTGAGGTTTGTGCTAGATGATAAATATTTCTTGATGACAAATCACTCAATGTTAATACAAGTTCTAGAAAAAGTTAAATCTTGAATCGGAGCCAATGGAAACCTAATCAATTGTAAAATACATGTGATTTTAAATTTTAGCTATTACTAAAACTGTGAAAAAAAAATTACAATTAATTTTAATTATATGTTTGAAAAACATATGCTTTTAAGCAAAGATTATTGTTTGCATGAAATCCTAAAGCTTTCACTTCACAACCAACCAACCACCTCATTTTTTGTGAAGAAAACCCCTTAAAATATCAACATCCAATTAAGGAACATTAATCACTTCTTAGCCTGAAAAGATTTTTTTTTAATACTTTGGTGTTGATGACATCCCATTCTTCATGCAGCATCACACCAGCATTTAAAACTATTTTAATTCTAATTTTATTTTATTTTTTATTACTTTGTTTATAGATTTGTCAAGTTTTCTAGAGAATTCTCCTGCATAAAACAATATGCTAAAGAAGTTTTCCTAAGATTATGTATCATGTAAAAGGTTCTTTGCTTGGTGAAGAAATATTTTTCTATTTAGTTTGGATTTTTGTACAAAATCATTGGTGTGATGTGCATGTAGGCATGATGTAGCTTGCCCCCATATCAAATAAAAACTAACTTTTTTGTGCATTATTTTTACCAGCTTCACTAAAGGTTTTTTATTATTATTTCATTGGAATAGTTTTCATAGAAGACATTATTTTATTCTAATGTTGAAAATAGTTTGGAAAATAAACCATTGGGCATAAGCAAAACTAACTTTTGATAGCAGTGATATGGCTCTATCTAGGGCTATCAAAACGGCTCGTTGTTCGCGAACAGCTCGTGTTGGGCTTTGTTAAGAATCTCGTGTTCGGCTCGTTCGCTAAGTTAACGAGCCAAACACAAACAACACAAACAAATATTCGTGTTCGGCTTGTTCTGGCTCGAAATACTACTAATTAAATATATATATATATATATATATATCTTTGATGATTGGTATTTTTAAAAAAGTTAATTGATTAAGAAAATAAAATAAAAATTATTAAATTAGATTCAAATGATGTTTTAAATCTTTATGCAATCCTTAACGTCTTATGGCTACGTGATTAGGGTTGTCAAAACGACTCTTTGTTCGTGAACGACTCGTGTTCAGCTCGCTAAGCAAACGAGTCGAACACGAACACACTTTTTTAGCTCGAAATATTCTTGTTCGGCTCGTTTACACCCCTAACTCTATCATTTGGATTTACCCCAAAGAGTGATTCTTGCGGCACACATTTATTTTTTAAAAAAAGAAAAAAAAAATTATTGCACCTTTGTTAAAATTCGGGATTTGGTGGAAAATCAATTATTTTCTTAGAAAGTTAGAATCATAATGTACTTATACTCATGTGACATATAACATGAAAATTAATCATGAAGGGGCATAAGTATTCTACCATTAAAATAGAAGAGAAAGAGGAACCTAACCCAATTGAAGCTCCAATCGAAGTAGACTTGCATTACTCAATAACAAGGAATTCAATGCCTAATTTTGCACTTTAGCGTATGGAAACTATATGAAAATTTATAGTTTGAGAATAGAGGAAGAGAGATAGAAAAAGATTGTTATAACCGACAGGAATTCAATGCCTAATTTTGCACTTTAGCGTATGGTAACTATATGAAAATTTATAGTTTGAGAATAGAAGAAGAGAGAGAGAAAAAGATTGCTATAACCGACGATGGAATGTATGAGATAAGAGAAATGAGGTTTAGT